AGTAACTTGTAAGATTCCATCGTCATTAGTGATTTGTAGGGCATACGGGGGTCCAAGTACTCCTACCCCTCTCTCTATGAGTGTAGAACGAATCGGGTGAGGTCCACGTGGCCAATATCAGCTTCATTGTTGCTGGAGCTGGATTGGGGATTCGGACTGGGTTAGTGGCCACAATCAGCCTTCTTTTTATTCTCCCTACCCCCTTCCTTCCCCACCGCACAGAGTGTCTACAAAACAGAACCTTACCTGGGAAGCTGCAAGGAAATTGCTGTCTTATACCTATCAAGTCCTGCAAGCGGGAACAGAGAGTGCCCCCAAACTAGGTGTGCCTTCTATGTGGAATCAGGGGTAGAGTGGAGTCCCCTCTGAGGGCAGCAGAATTCAGGGGTGGTGGTGGTGGGGAGAGGGATTGAGAGGGAGAGAGAGAGGGGAACACAGAGACAGAGAGACAGAGGGAGACAGACAGAGACAGAGACACTGTTGGAACCAGGACTCATCAGTTTCTTCTCCCTTTCATCACTTCTTCCTTAGAGAAGAGTAAATGACAGGAACTGGGAGAAGCGCCAATGTTACTTCATCAATATTCCCTCCTGGGGAGTAGAGAGGAAACTTTCTCATGAAAAAATGCGGCCGGGGGAATAGGATTCCCTCTCACACTATTAAAGATCTACCTTTCTTCACTTCCAGCAAAAAAAAAAAAAAAAAAAAAAAGTTAAAATCAGCCAAAGAAGTGATTATTTAGTGTTTACATGGGTCTGTCCCTCAATAAATACTTTTTAAAGTTCACCAATCTTTGAGATACAATCTAAATTATCACTTGGGAAAATTCTGAAGCTCAGAGAAGCCAAATAGAATTTTCCATACTGCCCCCTCCCAGGTGACCCGTAAATTGGCTGTAGGTGTAAGAAAATATTAGGTCTTCATACTTGAGAATAGCAGTCAGCAATTTTTTTCTGTAAAGGGCCAGAGAGTAAACATTTTAGGCAACGACTCAACTCTGCCATTGTAGGGCAAAAACAGCCATAAACCCGTAAATGAATGGGTGCGGCTGTGTTCCAAAAAAACTTTGCTTATGGACACTGAAACGTGAATTTCACATAATTTTCACATGTCCTGAAATAAAATTCAGTGCAGAGAAGACACTAATTTTTTTCAACCATTACAAAAATGTAAAACCGATTCTTAGCTCATGAGCCATACAAAACCAGGCAACTGGTCCTAGTTTTGCAACCTCTACTTTAGAAAACTCTTCCTTGTAGGTAACCAGTGCGTTGTTGTAAGTTTGTTAAGTTGTCATCTTCATGCAGGGCACTGATGCTGGACTTAAAAGGACAAAAGCATAACTTAAAGACTATCTCTTGGCTATTCCTGAATATATTATCATTTTGGCTTTTCTGGCCATGATGGAGCCAAAACAAGTGTGTAAGTTTAGAACTGCAAAAAGTATAAAGAAATTCTCTTCTAAAACGTTTTTGTTTACTGTCAGCCTTAAGGGATATGAGTGTTTCTAGTTTCTACATTCTTATCTGTGTTTATTTTGAAGTTTAATAACTATTTTTTCTATTCAAAAAACTGTTGTAGAAATAAAGAACAGTACTTAGCATTCCTTAGATATTAAAGCATTTAAAAAATGCCAGTTTTTCCTCCTGTGTCCTGGGTTTAAACGTTACTGCTGTTGGATCACTTCTGGCTGTGCCCCTCGTCCTTCCATGAGCAGCTTCTCTCTGGCATCCCACAGCCCATCAGAGGCTGCCCCTCCCTCCTGCTCCAGCCTGCTGTCCCTCACTCATCACTTCCTTGGCGCCAAGTCTCTGGGGCTCTGCCCCCTCCTGTGATCCTCCCTCTCTGTTCTGTCCTTTTGCCTCCCCACTCCCACCCATTTGTCAGCATCCCTCTGGGGGGCCCCCTTTATCAAGCCTTCCTGGCTGAGCTCTGGCTCATGGATTTTCTCTCTTCTCTAAACTCCCAGAGCACTTAGCCCGGGGGTACACAATTTAATACTTAATTATATATTGTCTTTTTTTTTTTTTCAAAGATTCTATTCATTCAGTTTTTTCCCCCCAAAGCCCCAGTAGATAGTTGTATGTCATAGGTTCACATCCTTCTAGTTGCTGTACGTGGGACTCGGCCTCACGTTGGATGGAGAAGTGGTGCCTCGGGGCGCTCCCGGGATCCGAACCCGGGCCGCCAGCATCAGAGCGCGCACACTTAACCGCTAAGCCACGGAGCCGGCCCTATATATTGTCTTTTATTGTTTGTTTTTATTTGTTGTGTTAGTCTTGTCTTTTCCAGTGAGGCTGCAGACCCCTTGAAAGCAACACATCTTGTATGTTTTTTTAAATCCCTCACAATACTCTAGTAGGGACACAGTCAATACTTCCTGTTCTACCAATAAGTGTTGATTGATGGATTGATAGGCACAGATGTGAGACTTTCTAACCATTTCTACAGTATCTGGTGCTTGATAAATATATGTCAAATTTATTAAACTGAGTTGAGTAATGAAGATCAGCTCCGAATGTAGTATTCAGTTGGACAAATCACACCATCTCTGCATCCATTTTCTCATCTGCAAAATAGAGATAAAAATGTTTTCCCCAGCCAGCCCTGACTGTCTAGTGGTTAAGGTTCAGTGCTCTCACCGCTTCAGCAGCCTGGGTTCATTTCCCAGTCGTGGAGCCACACCGCCTGTCTGTCAGTTGCCATGCTGTGGCAGCGGCTCAGATAGAAGAACTAGAAGGACTTACAACTAGGATATACACCCATGCACTGGGGCTTTGGGGAGGAAGAAAAAAAGAGGAAGATTGGCAACAGGTGTTAGTTCAGGGAGACTCATTCCCTGCAAAAAAAAAAAAAAAAGTTTTCCCAACCTACCTCGGTGAGTTACGTTGAGGCTTAAATGAGATAATGTAGCTTTGAACTATATGAATGCTAGGGATTATTATACCTCACATTTCTTTTTGCAGAAGTCACAGGGGAAAGTAGGGTTTGCCGTTTATCACGAAAAGTGGGTTCCTTTCTAACCTCTGTTAGGATGGTGAGCCATTCTCAGGGAAGCCTGATTACAACTGGAAAGGTAGGAAGAGAATAAACATGATCTCTTGGCTTCCGGTTTTCCTGAGAAGGTATTACAGTTGTGGAAAATGTAGTGGTGGTGAGGTTTAGAAATGGAAATTCCTCAACTAAGTTAGTCTTTGCTGCTCCTAACTTATCTATCTTTTCTGTACTCTTGTCCCCAAGCCTACTGCTGTCTTAATTCTCTCTTGGCAGGTCTGAAGCAAAATGTGGTGTAAGGAAATCTTAGTGAAGAGATAAGAACTTCCTGCTTTTTAAGTGGATCCTCTTCTCTATTTCATTTCTTCAGATTCCAAAAGGGAAATATTACTCTGGCCATTATTTATGAATTGACATAATTTATTTTTCCTTTTTCTTCTTATACACCCCCCTCATCTATACCATCTGCTGATTCTTTTCTTTTTCTCTCTTCCTGTCCTTGGTCCTTATTTAGTTGACCAAAATATATTTAACATCAGTGCTATTTCTCGAGATGTTTTTTTGTTTCTGTTTTTAATTAAAATAAAACTATTTGGGGTAAAAGTTTTATATATCTGTTTATTAAAGCAAATTCTAAAACATATATTTTTCAGGAAGATTGGTCCTGTGCTAACATCTGTTGCCAATCTTCCTCTTTTTCTTTTTTCTCCCCAAAGCCTCAGTACATAGTTGTGTCATAGTTGTACAGTTGTAGCTCTTCTATGTGGGACGCCGCCTCAGCAAGGCTTGATGAGCGGTGAGTATGTCAACACCCAGGATCTGAACTGGCCAACCCCAGACCACGGAAGCGGAAGGCGCCAACTTAACCGCTAAGACCACCAGGCCGGCCCCTAAAACACATTTTTTCATTAGTGCTTAATCCTGGACTGATTTTTTTCCTTTGGGTGTTTCCCAGTGAGGCTTAATGCATATATATGTGCAATTCTTCGCAGGGCCTTTTTTTACTCCTATTATTCTAGTATTTAACACTAACCGATGTTATTCCTTTTTGAGGCTCAACTCCAGGTTTGAGCCATGCCTGAGAAAGTGGCCTAACCTCGTCATCACCCTGAACGCTATAGGGAGGCACTGGGACCCCGTTCGTATGGAGATCTCTGTCCTCCAGCTTTTCAGGACAGAAGCAGTACTGCCATGGAAAAGGGAAGTCTAATTTCCCATGCCTCGTCCCTTTTCTGGGAAGGGCATGGCGTGCGTGGGCACCACAACTGATCCAGCGTCCTGGGGAGAAAACACCACAGCCTTCCCCGCCCCCTGAAAAGCGCCATCCTCCAGGTAGATCTAGATGTTGCCCTTCCCAGGCAGGGCGAAGAGCCAAAGACTCCCCTCCTGCGCAGGATGGGCGCAGAACGGCGCTGGCTCCCGCCTTCTCCGGCCGGGCTGCGCCGGCAGAGCAGGTGACCAGCTCCTGCGCGGGCAGCGCGCGGGAGTTAGTTACCTGGCGTGGAGCGGCGCCGACAGGGCGTGGCGTGGCGGGGCGTGGCGTGGCGGGCGGCGGGGCGGGGCCGGGATGCGATCCCGGGCTGCGATTGGTTCGCACCGCGCCTGTCTCCATGTGCCGCGCGGCGGAGGCACAACATTCAAGTCCGGGGGCGGGGCCGGCGCGCGCCGGGAGGAAGCGGCCGCGCGACAGCTGCGGGGCGTGGAGGCGGTAGTGGCGGCG